ACAGATGAGGCGAAGAAGCACCGCTACCGGCAGAAGATATCCGAGTACATGACCAGAGCCGAGGACATTAAAAAACACATTGAGAAAGAGAAACAAGGTATAAATACTAAGTGGGGGGTACCCAGTGGAGGGAGTCGGGCCCTGCCCCGTAGTGCCAGTCACCAGGACACAAGGCAAGGGCAGAAACCAATGCACGGGAAGTTCTCCGTGAACATGGGGAAGAATTTCTTCACTGTGCGGGAGACCGAACACTGGAACAGATTTTCCAAAAAGGTTGTGGAATCTCTTTCTCTGGAGATACTCAAGAACTGTCTGGACACAATCCCGTCCACGTGCTCTGGGATGACCCTGCTTGAGCAGGAGTTGGACTAGATGTCCCACTGTGGTCCCTTCCAGCCTGACCCATTCCATGATTCCATGAACTGGGATGTACCCGATATACCCTTTTGCTTTTAAATGGCTGTTGTTACGTGAATGTTTGATGGACAAGGTGGTTTAACCTGAAAATGACGTCCTGACCTTTACTGCAAAAGTGATTTACTTTCTTCTCAGATGGCAAATACCATAAGCAAATCAGGATAGAAGAAAATGCAACAGGTTTTGGCTATGAAAAGCTTTTCCACGAGTACCTCACTGAGATTGTTTCTGAAGTTTGGGTGGAAGATCCATACATTCGACAGGTTCATCAGGCAAGTTGATATTTGGTGTAGTTAATACAGATGTAGCCACTAGAGAAATTCCAAACTACTAAATTAAATAAAACTTTTTCAGCTGTATAACTTTCTACGGTTCTGTGAGATGCTAGTTAAGGGGCCATGCAAGGTGAAAACAATCCATCTCCTCACTTCCTGTGATGAGGTAAGTGTCTAGATTTTGGGTTCTGTTTCCCTGCACTGATGATGCCACATGGAAAACAAAATATAAAAATACAGACTTATTCCTAGATAGTTTAACATAAATAATTTTTTAAGTTCAGAGTTTTCTGGTTAACAAATTCTGAGTAAGCAGAATCTTAAATTGAAATTTCTGTAAAAGTTTTGTTGTGGAAAATGTCATAAAAACCAAAGCATCTGTTGAGACAAGTTTTTTTTTGCTCTTCCAACACCTGTATTTGTCATTTTAGAGGCTTTCATGAGCTGAAATCTGTCAAACTACCACTGCACTTATTTAAACTATTACTGCACTTAAATAGTACCTATCTAATTTCAAAGGGCTGAGAGTGAGCTCATCCTCCACATCCCTCAGCAAATATACCGTAGTCTGTCTGCTTTTTATCCTGTCTTTGAAACTGTAAAAGTGCCTTCATCCAAGTTTCTTTCTTTCTTTTGATTTGCCTTGATACTGAAAAGATTTTGTGTGTGACTTTAAGAAGTAGTGACCAGAAGTAGAATATATAGTTTAAAAAAGAAAACAAAACCCCATCATGTTATTTTTACTTTTGATAGGGTAGTAGGAGTGAACAGAGGATTGCCTTGGAAGGAATACAACAGTCATTGAGTAATTATGGAGTAACACTGAGTATTGAATTTTCATCTTCCATACATGATCGAGAAATCAGGTAGGTGATGTAAAAAAATGACCAAATGGCAGTTATTTGAAGTCAAACTATTTAACCCTAACTTGCTGTGGGTAACAAAGTAAGAGGCAGTGGCCCTCACTGGATGCAATCAGCCCACTGTAGTTCTATATTTTCTAATTGTGAATATAATACTAGTATTACATATATAATATCTCTAGAGAATGGTGCTTTCTGTGGACCACACAGGTATTGGTGATGCTAGGAACTAACTGTGATTGAAATAATTCTGATTGAAACAAAAGAGCTTGTGCATCATGTGGATGTAACCTTTTTATTGTGCATTTTTAAAACAGATTCAACAATGGATGGATGATTAAGATAGGAAGAGGTCTTGATTATTTTAAGAAACCACAGGTAAGGATGCTTTGACTTCTTTAATTAACTTAAAATGAGCTCTTCTACAGTATATGTTCACCATGTAAATTCTGTTATCTCTGCAGGGTCGTTTCAGCATTGGATACTGTGACTTGGACTTGAGACCTTGTCATGAAACAACAGTGGATGTCTTTCATACTAAACACACAAAGCAAATGTGATCAGAAATTACTGCTTTTAATAAGTGTTTTCATAAACATAAAAATGTAAGACTGAAAGATATTGCTTGAGTCCAGCTGGTTGCCCACAGAAGCAACTCTTCTAAGTACTTAGTGCAACACAGCTTTTATAATCTATATGTTTTAGAATATTTGAGGCTTTCCAGTCTGAGAAATCAAAACCGCATGATTCCTTCATTGTACTTCTTTTGTAATCTTAATACAATCCATATCTAAATTTTATCTTGATTTGATAACAGACCCTCAGTAATGTCTTTCAAAAGCCTCTTTAATGCCATTTCTATTTTTACTGTTGATTTTGTCTTGAGCCTGTTTTGGATTTTATATCTTTAACTGACCATCTCACAATCATTGGAAGCTGGGCTACCACATGTCCTCTTTTATAAGCAGTCTTATTTATTTCCTTTAATTCCTGTATTCTAGTCATGACTACTGTTTTGCTGGGATTTTGTCAATCCTGTAATACTTTATTTCCCAGACTTTACTAGTAATCCCAAATTTCACATTCCACTTTCCAACCTCTTTGCCTATAATTGTGGTAGTGTTCAGTACACAATCATTTTAGGGTTGTCTTATGTGTCTCTGCATAATGGATTTTGGACTGGGAAGGCTGCAAACAGCTGTAATCTCTTCCCTGACACTCCTGTGTATTCTTTTATTCCATGATTCATGACCATATACCTCATACCATCTTTTGCATTAAGTGTGGCAAGGATGTGATCCTCTCCTGGTCTTACTGTCTGACTTTAGAGTCTAATGACTGGCTTTTCATGCCACTCTCAACTGCAGTAAGCTATTTTGCTACTACTAAGGTAGTCCCCTAAAAAGAATAAATTGAAGTTTTTTCAGAAGTTGGGTACCCTGAGTATCTCAGTGGGTCAGAGCATGGTGTGAATAATGCCAAGGTCATGTGTTTTATGCCTGTAAGGGTCATTCAGTTAAGAGCTGAACTTGATCCTTGTGGGTTCCTCAAAATATAAAAAGTCCCTTAACTTAAAATATTCTGCGATTCTAAGCAATATGCTATTTAGAATAAAGACAGTCTTCCCTTGTCATTCCTTCAGCCTTTGGAAGCTAGAAGGTATTACTAGAAGTGCTGCTTTTTCTGCCCAAGTCATACAGTCTGAGATAAAAAACAGGCCAGTGTCCTCTTTTTCAGGTCCCATCAAAAACTTTTCATCCTCAGGACTGACAAGTGCCTTACACTTTCTGCCTTGTAATACAATAGGCCTCTATAGTCTCGTAGCTTATTTATTGCTAGAACTTTTTTTGTTTCCTATATTTATTTTTCCTGATGGTTGGTGTATTCTGTTATCTTTTTTTTCCCTTAATGTACTTTATTATTTCATCTTCTGTTATCTAATGCTGCTATTCTTTTCCTCTTGCTTGTAACAAACAATCTATTCCACAGCAACCAGTAAGAAATGGAGCTGGTCTTTGCCTTATTTTCTGGGTCATAATTAGCCAGTAGTCTGCCTTCTTTATCCTTTCTCATAATAATGTTTCAGCTTTGCAGTGTTGCATCAGCAGAATGAATAATATGTGCCACAGAGCTGTGTGCTATTAATCATTCCCCTAAACATTCCATAGGAGCACCCTGGTTTGCTGCTGTGATAGGAAGTTCCTAGTCACTTGTGAATTTCATTCAGTTGTGTATAATATATGCTTATTTTTAATGGGAATAAAGGTTATTTTTTATCATTTGTAGCTTAAGTCATCTGTTTGATTTCTTCACAACATCAGGAAATTCATAATAATGCCTCATAGATCCAGCCAAGCTCTGGAGAAGGCTCACCGTAAATATAGTAATTTCCCAAATGTGAAGCTTTAAGTCTTTTAACCTAGTCCATCAGTTTCAAACATAGAGAATTAACTAGGCTGGAGAAGAACTTTGAGATCACCCTGTCAAATAGAGCATGGCACTGAGTGCCACATCCAGTCTTCTAAAGCACCTCCAAGGACGGTGATTCCACCACCTCCCTGGGCAAGCATTCCAATGCCCAATCACTCTTTCTATGAACAATTATTTCCTAATGCCCAGCCTAAACTTCCCCTGGTGCAGCTTGAGGCTGTGTCTTCTTGCCCTGTTGCTGGTTGCCTGGGAGAAGAGCCTGAACCTCACCTGGCCACAGCCTCCTTTCAGCTACTGTTCTGACCTAATCAAAATTGCATTACCCTTTTTCTTCAACAACAGTGAAATACATCTTGAGCCTTTCTTTAATAATTTTACTATATATATAACTATTATGTAACAATCTATCACTTTCAGTTCATTGCTGCCTTCTAGGGGAAAATCTGCTAGATGGGAACATAAGGAATCTCTCCTTGTTCTGTATTTGCATTTCCAACTGTTTAGCTTTGATACCAGTACCCATGGCAGCAGGGACTCCCAGCTTTGTGCCAGGCACAAGACAGTCAGAAGGAGACACATGTGGCCTCTGTCCCAGTAAACCCCCACACTGAATTTCCTAATCTTCCCCTGCTCTGGCACATGCATGGACAAAAGCCCTAACCCAGGGTGGACCTTCCCACACAGCTCAGTTTGGGCTCAATCCACAAGGAGCACGATGCAGGCTGGGGCATCCAGTGCAGCAGCACAACGCCACTTTTACACCTACCCCATTCCATCTGTGTCAGCCATTTGCACCTTCTCTGCTACAGGGCCAATTTGGGATGTCCCCACCATTTTCCCTGGTTCAAGCAGCAATGATGTCTTGTCAGCAGCGGTTTCAATCCTACAGTTCGGGAATATCAGGTGCAGGTAGGGTGAAATTTAATTGTAACATTAAATGCAAGCACAAGATTGAACAGTTTGTTTTCTACAAGCTGATTTTTTCTCTTAGTAGTGATTGTTTTAATTTTGGTTTTGATACATTAAGTAAAAAAGCAGCAGAAGTTTAACTTACACTTTCAAAATGCAAGTCACATTAACCTTATCATATTCTCACATAGTAAACTCCACCTGCTGTGCAGCTCATCATCTTGTGGACACACTCTTAGCAATGTTGTAACAAGTGTCGTGGTTTCATTTGGGCAAAACTTACTGCCAATAAGACTCTTGACCAGTTCACTGTACAGTTCTGGTGGCAGCCACTTCTCTGGCAGATCAATGTTACATACTTCAATTCTTCCGTGCTTTACATCCATATTTACTTTAATGTCAAGAACAGAATCTTTATAGGTCATGTTAAGACATGTGCTAATGCTGAACTTTGGTGTCTTTCCATACACCCATTCCCAGGTTTGTAGTTCTTTAGTTTTGTTACTAATTCCAGGAAGCAGAGTCTCATCAGTTGGATTTATTAAGGTGATATGGTGATCTATCTGGTGTTGCACAGCATATTCTTTAGCAATGGCATCCAGGAGCATCTCAGAAGTTAAACTAGGATCCTCTTCAAAGAGATTTTTCACCAAGGCAGGCACGCTAGGAGTGGCATTGCTCTTTAGCCCTTTAAAAGGACTTTTTAGCACAGAAGATAAAACAAACTTGTCTGCATTACAGAGTAAGGTACAGTGGTGATAAGCACTTGTCCTTCCCAGCTTTGCAGCAGTGCCTGAGATTTTGTATTGCCTGTCTAGCAAGATGTCGTATCTGTCAGTGACATGTACATCTAACTGGGGTCGCAAGGCTTTCAGTGCCTTCACAACGAGCTTCAGGTTTTCCATTCGTTCATATTTTTTTCTGGTTGTGAAGAAAGTCAAATTGATATTACCTAAGTCATGGTAAACTGTCCCTCCTCCACTTCTTCTCCTGGCTAGTTTTATATTTTTTTGCCTCAGTAGCCTGAGGTTGCATTCCTGCCAGGGATTCTGATGTCTCCCTATTACCACAGCAGGGGAATTTCTCCAAAGGAAAAGGACCTGTTGCTTCTCTAAATCCATGTGGTCATGGATCCAATCTTCCACAGCTAGATTTTGGTAAACATCATTAGAAACAGACTGGATAACGAGGGCTCCACCAGCTGTGCTCCAGAAGCAAGCTTTTGGAGTCCTGAGGCCGCAGGACAGCCAAAGGCAGTTTTTTAATGAGTGGAGCACCATGTTTTTAATAACTGCACAGCGGATGGAAGGAATGCCTGCTCTGCTAATGCTGAATGCGGCAGGAGCGCAGCCGGCTGCTGTGACAGAAGCGAAACGCCGGTGGCGGCATGAGACAGCCAGGCTCTTCCCGAGCAGCAGCGAGCTCCCGGGCACGGCGTTCCCCAGCGCTGCCGCTCACAGCCGGCGGCAGCCGCACCGGACATCCGCGGGTCTCACAGCACCTGCTCCCCGCAGTCCCGCTGCCTGAAACATCAAAGGAACAAACGGAACGTGTAGTTTCCCCTGACTCAACCCAGCCTTCCCAATTCAGTTTCACTTCGCGCAGTCCAGCTTTGCTAGGGTTTTTTGCCTTCTTTTCCACGGGGTTCCTAGCGCGGCGTCCCTGAGCCCCCGACGCCGCGTCTCCGCCCGCACAGCCCCGCTGCGCTACTCACGGTGAGGAGCAGAGCGCTCCCGGCGCCCGTCCCTGCTCCCGCGGGATCCTCGGAACCGGCGGCCTCGGCAGCGCCTTCCGCTTCCCGGGTGAGAGGGGCCGGGCGGGCGCTGCGCCGCCGGGGCCGGGCGGGCTGCGGTGCGGGTGCTGCGGCTGCGAGCGCCGGTCCCACCGCGGCCACGGCACTGGCGGGGATGCAGCTGGCGACAGCGAGAGTGGCCAAGGCACAGAATCACAGAGCTGGTGGGATTGGAAGGGACCACAGTGGGGCGTCTGGTCCAACCTCAGTGTGAAAAATGCATGGTTTATGATTGGCTTTTCGCAAATATTACAATGAATATTATATGTGTAATGTTAGAAAGTTATGCTGTGTTAATTCTCTTACGTAGTGTGTTAAATATAGTTTTAGGTTCCAGCATAATGTTAAAATAGAGATTATATATGTGGGGGGAGTTGTTTTTTTTGTTTTTTTTTTTTTAGGAATGAGATACTGGCTTCGAGGAACACCTAAATCTTCCAAAGGAGAGGAATTTATTGCTTCTTATCAGAAGAAACTAATTTCTTCAGACCTTGCTCAGACTTGAAGACGCCATGGGGATTAAAGGAAACAGCTGACATACAACAGACAGAGTTCTTGGTTTAAATAGAATGTATGCATAACCATGAAGGCTATATAAATATGCAACAGGGTATTGTTTTTAAGGTTATTCCTTTTTTCACAAGTCATGCTTTTCGTCGTGACTTAGTGTCCGAGAGCATCCGGACATCTGTAATTCTTTGCTTTATATTGTCTTGTAATTGTCCTAACTCTAAACTTTATTACTCTAATTGTATTACTATTTTTATAACCATTTTTATTATTATTAAATTTTTAAAATTTTGAAAACCAAGTGATTGGGGTTTTTCACACTCAGGGTCATCCCAGAGCACTTGGCACAGGATTGTGTCCAGGCGGTTCTTGAATATCCCCAGTCAGGGAAACCCCACACCCTCTCTGGGCAACCTGTTCAGTGCTCGGTCACCTGCACGGTAAAGTCTTCCTCATGTTCAGGTAGAATTTCCTGTACATCAATTTCTGGCTGTTGCTTCTCATCCTATTGTTTGGCACCTCCAAGAAGAGCCTGACTTCATCCTCTTCACACCTTTGCATTAGATACTTTTGGGCATTTCCCACAATATTTACAGGGCAACAAGAACCAGTGCACAATGCATAAAATGGATGATTTTTCTTGCAAGACCCAGATGTGCAGCTCCTCTCTGCAGGATATTCTGGATGCTAGAAGTTTTTATGAGTTCACAAGGAGACAGAGATAATGGAAATGCAGAGACTTGTGAAATACACTCTCTATGGTGCTCATGAAGATACAGAAGCTAAATGTTGATAGCATAATTCATTACCAAGCTGGAAAGTGATCAAAAACTAGACGTATTTCTGGCAGCACATTGTCTTCAGATTTGCATTTAAGCCATTCTTAAAGTCTACCTGACCTTAGCTATAATTCTTCATCAAAAGCTATTGTCTGTGCTTAAGCTTACACCATGGGACAATGTTCAGTGCTAGCTGAAGTTTTTTGTCCACATAGTAGTATCCCTATAGGCAAATATGTGCTGTATTTCTCTTGTTCATTGATGTGTATTTCTAAAAGGTACATTACATGCCTTTGTGTTCCATTCTGCCTTAAAAGAGCTGTGTGGGTGTAGTAGGGCAAGTAAAAGTAAGAAACCATCACAACATGTGTGCTGCTTGTGGTAAGTGAGAGAAACAGTCTCTAAAAGGATCTTGATGTGATGTGTATGCCAGCACCTTTAATGTTGTACTGTCATATAAAAACAAAACTTAAAGCAATTTGAAATTGATAGAGCTTTTTGCTGAATTAGACTGGTAATACTTTTTCATTGGAGTGAGCTATCCTGTATTGCACAAGGTAAAAAGCATGTGGACTTTGTCCATAAAAATGTGCTGGAAATCAATGTTGAAAGCAGTTGACAAAATGCAAACACAAACCTGTGCATTCTAACACTGGTCAGAAGTATGAAAATGCATCTTGTGAGGCAACTGATGTTACTAAAATCCCCAAAACATGTGGGACCACTTGTCTCCTTTTTGGCATTTGATTCTTGAACGTTTGCAGTGTGTCATTTTGCCACGGGGTGTCCCTAAAAACCTTCTGTGAGATGGTGCAGTTTGTGTTTTTCTAGTCAAAACCTGTTTTCATAGTTAGAACCATAATTTGCTAAAAAATTTAGAGTGTGCAGAATACTAGGTGGACAGATTAAAATGTCACGGGTCTGTTTCTGATAAGCTGAATGATGAATTACACATACAACAATAAATGCCTTCCTATTGTTGAAGACAAATCCAGCAAGATAATTAGAAATATTCTGACAACAAGCAAAAAGTATGAATTTGTACATTATTTATTTATCTCTTCTGGACTGGACATTTAAAATTTTTTATGTCCCAACTACTATTGTATAAATCACATATCTGTAAAATACACCAAATATTATTTTAACTTTTGAAAACAATTCTATATATGAATCTAATTTCTTTTTTGATCAACAGAGCATTGTTTGATATTCAAAAAGCAATGCAACTGCTCTGCAAAACATTAACCAGCATTAAGATATAAAAAATAATTCACCATATGTCCCTTAGAGTACCTTAGACATACTAGAACAAAACCAATTAAAATGTAGAACTATTAAAAATGTAGAACCATACTAGAACAAAACCAATTAAATAATTTCACTCCTAAAATGAATTTTCGTTAAGAATAATTTTGTTAAAGTTGTGAAAACATGAGATGTCCTTTTCACATCTTTTTTGGAGATAAACATGATAATACAGAGTCTCTACTTCCACCATACCAAAATCTGAAAGTAATATTTACAAGAAATCCAGGATGGGGAAAGGAGAAAGAAAAAGACTTGTTTCTCTAGCTCTGTTTGTGGAAATTAAAATCTTCCAATTTATTTTCTGGCATTAGGTGGGGATTGTATTTCAGAGGTATTATTCATTCTTAATGTCTAAAAAGGCAAGCTGTATCCATGAGTGCTTAATCATGGCTGCTTGCCAAAAACCCCGTTACTCACCCTGCACTGTCTCCAGAATATAAAACCTGTGCTAGTGGCTAGCAGGGAAGAGAGGACATTTTGTCTGGTTTTTCTGTTCAACTCTGGGACTACCTAAAGCAGCCTCTTACAAAGGCTGTTTGTATCCTTGCCATGAGCAGGCAATAGGAGTCACAGGGTTCACATGGCCTCCTTACCCTTTTTGCATCACTTTCTTCAAAGGCACCAGCCTGCTTGGCACTGTCTGTGCTATTCCAAGAAGAAGATATGTGCAGCCAGAGGTACTGTAAATAAGAACTCCTACTGTAAATAAGAACTCCTATCTTGGGATATAAGGAAACATAAGAAGCAATTTCTCTGAAAGTACTTTGTCAGTGGAATGCAGAAAAGCTTAATTAGCCTTGTAATACTCTGATGTTTTAACTTCATGATGTCTGTAAATCAGTAATATGTTAGTCCTGGCATTAAAAATCAGGAGTGAGTGCAGACTGGAGTTTATCATATGAGTGAAGCTAATGTTTGACACTGTCAAGGAACAAGTATAGTGCAAAGAATAATATTTATTCTGGACGATACAGCTGGCACATAGGCTTACAAATAGATACATAAATTAGATGGGTTTGGATAGAAGATAAGGTTTAATTAAAGGAAGCTATTTTCACAAGATTAAGTCAGTCCTATCGTAACACTTTCTTTGTTCTTGTCAGGCCTGAGAGACTGTGCAGCAATTGCTGGAGTTTTCATCTGGGAAAGTGTCTCCTTGGATTTTAGTTTCTGGAAGTGATGAACCTAATTAGAGTAGAGGTGTTCAGTGGAGCTCCCGGAGTTCACTGTCAGTCCTGCCTGATCAGCTGTGGCAGTTTCAGAGTACCCATCTCTCTCCTGGGGCTGGACTGACAAGACTTGGCTGCTTGGCTTTGTCTCTGAAATCCTGTGACCTGTAAGCATTGCTCATGCTGCCTTTCCCTGCCTTTTGCTGAGGCTTTTGCATTAACCACAGGCAAGGCCTATGCTCTATGTGTGGGCCAGGGAGGTTTGGGTTAAAGGTGCTTTAAAGGAATTCTTTAAAAGAATTTCACTCAAAACAACAATGGATGGTTGTATTGCATGTATCTGAGTGTGCCAATTTATGATCCATCCTCCTGTTTTCATCCCCAAATAACTATGAAGAATTTAATTATTATTTGAGGAAGTAATCTTCCTATCTGTTAAGGTGTAGAGTGTTGTGTCACTTGAGGAGAAGCTTGGCTTAACTCCCTCCCCTAACAGAAAAGCTCTTCAAAAAGATGTAGCAGCAAGTGGTCACTCAGTATTCATTTGTACTTAAAATCAGAAATAAATATGAGCACCTTTTCTTGACTTTAGTAACGTTTGTTGAGAAACTGTACTCCACATCATAAACCTGATACAGAAAGTTGAATTTTCATATATAAGAGTTATTAAAAAACCTCACAAGATGAAACCAAGTAGAGAAATAATTAAAATTTCTATGAAAGCAATGTGCATTAATATTTATATCAGCATTAATGGGAAAAGGTGTTTATTGATAATTTTGTACAAGATTTTACAATCCATCTTTTTAAAAATTATTTTTAGGAATATTTCTAACCTCTCATTTTGTTTTGCCTATAGAATTTCAGTCATATACACCTGTAGGGACAACAGATATTATGATCATCTTGGAAAGCAAGAGTAAAGAAAATAAATTGCAGAGATGGCATGCTTGCTAGACAAATATTTAGGTAAGCTGTTGTGCTGGTACTGAGCCAGAAGTCAGTATGTCCATCACAGCTGCTTGGCTTCTGTCCTACAGAACTCCTGACTTAAGGAAATCAGAGTCATAGAATAGTTTGTGTTGGAAGGGATCTTAAAGACCACCTAGTTCCAACTGCCTTTTCATGGACAGGGACACCTTCCACTAGACCAGGTTGTTCAGAGCTCCATTCAGCCTAATGTTGAGCACCCCCAGATGTGGGGACTCCCCAGCCTTTTTCG